GCGAGGAGGTCTGTACCTTTGATCTTCGCTCGATGTTACTCCTTCTGTTCTATTTTCTCTATGGTCTAAGTATGTTTTTGTTTTCATGGATGCACCTTCTTCTTTTGAAGTGTGCCACTGTTTCAAAAGTGTATATCCTAATAAATAAATAAATAAAAAACTCAACGAAGTGCACATAACATTGTTAATTGCTATAAACATGGGTTCAGAATTGTTTATTTGTGATTTGTGTTGCCATTGATCTTATCTAATTAATGCATTACATAATAAAACTTGATCACTAATCTACTGATAAAACTGGCCGACTGAAGGCGTATTTTTCTATCTGTATTATCACCTCATGAATATTAATTTTAATAACTAGAAATTGCAAATTGCAAGTGAAGTGCTGCGAAGTAAAACTGCATAAAATGTTCTTCGAACAAAATTATTTATGCGAGTCAAGTGAAAATAATGAATAATAAAAATATAACAAATAATATGAGACACGACCCATTGTCTATATTAGAACAGCGTTGGTACCGTGTACAATAGTGTTTTGCTGCAGTGACATCTCACTGCTGGCGACTCGCTGCTCTGCTGGCCGATGACTCGCTGCTGGCGAATCGATCTGCGCATGTGTATAAAATGGTATTTATTTCCGAAAACACTATGCTAGTCTACAACAAGCGTCGCCTAAATGTAATAATTAGCACGTTGAAATAGGCTAGTAAATAATTTTAACTGGGTTCGTAAATAATTTTGGCCTCAAAATATTGTGGCTGAGACATGAGCCGATTAAACGTAGAAATAGGAAACCTAGAAATATATATTAAAAACGCTGAATGTACTCCAGCGTCGCGACATGCGGACGTTGGTACGAGTAGGTTAGTCTACAAACGTCGCCTAAAGTAATTGATTTTACCCGGCAGAACGAAAGAAGGAAACTCCGCTTTTCAATTGTCATAGGCGCAGGTTTTTTGACAAACAATGACCTTTCAGAGGTCAAATTGCTTTCAAGAATATGAATTGGCTGCTTCGCAGCAATTAACACAAACAATTACAATAAAAAATTGGTTTAATAAATTGAACTAAAAGGGAAACTATACATGCGAAAAACACATATTTTTCAAATTTTAATGCATTTTCAGGAAGCTTGGGTAATTTTGGGCAATTTTTGCTGAATCTTGGGTAATTTCGACCCAGACATTGGGTATATCAAAAATTGTGAGTGGTCACCTGATGATTGCGACACCCAATCGCACCCAATCGCAAAGTAAAATCGTGTGTGAAAGCTCACCAGTAGCAGTTGATATGTAATCGATATCGCAATTGTTACCCGTTGCGATTGGGTGCTACAATCTTTATTACTCCCGATTACCACGGAATCTGATCACAACGAATTCCAGACCAGGGCCGGCGGAACGTTTTTCAAAGTGGTCGGGCCCACTTATAAGCAGGCGCGTAACAGGGGTCTTGGGTCAGGGGGGTGGCGGCAAAGGTAATAATTTTCCCGGTTAGTAATTTATGACTTGATGTGATACCCTGGCACGCCACTCTTCTCGACCTGTCTCTTATACACATCTAGATGTGTATAAGAGACAGATTGCACATTGAGTCCCTTCATCGTGGTTTTATTTATTACAATCATAGGCCTATTCTTTCACCATCATTACACATTGAGGCCCTTCTTTTAGGTAAAACGATCTATCTTAAATTTTCTTTCTCAAGTTTTGGGACTATTATGTTTCTAAATAACTTAGAAGGCAAAGGATGGCAAGCACAAGCCTTAACCCTAACAAATGCGCGCGAAGCGCGCGAAAAATTTTTGTGTTGTTAATTCTAATTTCGTCGCAATTGATCAAAACTCCCTAAATGTGCAATTTTTAGAGGAAATCGGCCTACCTCAACAAGAAATGCTCTTATGTTATATATGGCCACACTCGTTCTTTTAAACTGAATATAAGCATTTTCCTTATGGCTTTATTTATTACAAACATATTCTTTCAACATCATTACACATTGAGGCCCTTCTTTTAGGTAAAACGATCTATCTTAATTTTTCTTTCTTGAGTTTGGGACTATGTGTTATAACTTAGAAGGCAAAGGAGAGCAAGCACAAGCTTTAACATTGAAAAATGCGCGCGAAGCGCGCGAAAAATTTTTGTTTTTTTAAAATTCTAATTTCGTCGGAATTGATCAAAACTCCCTAAAATGTGCAATTTTTAGAGGAAATTGGCTTACCTCAACAAGTAATGCTCTTATGTTATATATGGCCACACTCGTTTTTTTGAACTGAATATAAGCATTTCCTTATGGATTTATTTATTACAAACATATTCTTTGAAAATCATTACACATTGAGGCCCTTCTTTTATAAACGATCTATCCTTAAATTTTCTTTCTTGAGTTTGGGACTATGTGTTATAATTTATAAGGCAAAGGAGAGCAAGCACAAGCTTTAACATTAAAAAATGCGCGCGTAGTGCGCGAAAAATGTGGTTTTCTAATTTCGTCGGAATTGATCAAAACTCC